CACGCCTGAAATGAATGGAATAATGAAGTATCTCTCAAGATGATGGAAACAGTATTTACCTACAGCCAAAAAAACCTTTCCCTTGGGTTGAGACACTCTCCATAAGGAGCACTGGGGAAAAGGCCACATCAAACCCCTTATTTTCACCCTTAGTTTAATTAAGATTCCCCTTGCTGCTAAAACTCTTGAAAGGAGTTGGTGACTAGTTAACATCAACCAGAGAAGCTGGTAGGGATATGCCTGTACTCATTTAAATTAACACTATCAGAGAGGTCATTATAGTTCTCATTCCTCAGTCATTCCAGGTACATTTTCCAGGCATATATTCCTATACAATCCTAAAAGTTATTTGGGGTCTCTTCTAAAAATTTTTTTAATACTAAGACTGGTGAGGACAGGTGACTTTTATTAAGCTCCCAAAACTACTGTGAAGGTCATTGAAATAATTGGAAGAGAACAAGGAAACAAAGTACCTTGCATTAGGATGTCAAGGAGATGAGGATCAGGTGTGAGTGCAGGCGACACCTGCAAGGAAGCAGCACAACAGAAGCTTCCTGGCTGGTTTTTGAAAAGGAAGATCTGCTTGGAGACACTTTGCTGGTTGAAGAGCTTGACAACAAAAGAGGAGTGATAAACTGCTGTAATTCTCAGAAGAAAGCAGTGAGGATGGGACATACCTACAAGGTAACTGGAAACACTGTTATTTTCACTACTTTTCTGGTAATGAGGATGTAGCTCAGCCTTGTGAGTTCTGCAAATTTCTGTTTGTAAAGGTGATGAAATCCAAGATGGAGACCTGAATCTGTTTGTTTGTGCTGTGCCTATATGTGAAAAACAAATCTTTATTTTCCCTCTTGGTGATTACTTTGTGCTAAACTACAAAGATGCTAGAACTGACTACAGCATTGGCAACGCAGCAGTAGAGAGAACCTGTCTAGTGGCTGGGACAGGCTGTATAGGTATTTATCCCTGTGTTTAATTGACTTCTCCTTTATTACACGACTAAAAAGCAGGTGCCCTGTGGTGACACGTCAAGGCTGTGGGTGAGAGGAGCACAGTGCAGCCTGGCCAGCTGGCGTGTTCCAGCACATCCTCAGCAAGGCATGACCAAAACGAAGGCACCGCTGTTGTGGGGATGAGTGACACTTAGTTATGGATGCATATGTATATTTTTGTCACAGCTTGGCACGTAGGATGTGATTTTGCATTCTGTGTCAGTCCTGTAATGGAATTGGAGCCTCAAGAAAGAGGATGGAGGGGGTGCCCATAATAATTTGCTTAATTTATTGCTGTTCCTGTCTGCACCAGGAAGCCTTTAGAAAGAAGTTGCATATGAGCATTATTGGGCCAAAAAGACTGTGAGTTAAGCTTCTGATTTTCTGAATGAAGTTCTCTTATTAACTCTGGATTATTTTCACAATTAATTCTGTATGTGATAATAATCTTTCTTATTAGCAATGCTCCCAGCTGTTGGGTTATTGTGAGGATTCACATCCTCAGAAGGGAAGAAGGATGCTGAGGGAGTTCTCTTAAATTCTGAGTCCTGGCCTGAAAAAATGAAGAGTTGCCAGTTTTACTGAGACATTATCCTGTTAAAAAGGAAAGAATGAAGGTTTCGAACACAGGTAACTAAAAGATCAACATTTAGTTTGGCCTCGGGTATGAAACAGAGCATGACATGTAACACTGTAGGAGTACGATACCTGTCCAGAATGGAACTTGGCAAGTCCTGGCAGAGAAATGGGTCTATTCTAGTGAATATTAGCAAAGGTTGGTACAGCTCACCAGGAAGAGAGCAAATGTGAAGTACTGATTTGATGTGAGCAATAGCAAATACCAAGTAGCAATTAAAATAGAAAAAAATGATGCAATTAAAACTACAGATGTACTATCCAGAACTGGGGGTGGGTATGTGTGTGTGGTTTTGGGAAGGAGGTGGCTGCTTTCCTTTTTAATCTCGATCGACTACAATGTAGATAATAATCAGTAATATGAAAAACAAGGAGTGAATTTTCTGCATTCCTAGATAGAAGGTCTCTAAGGAAAATCCTGGTGCTGTGGGGAACCAGGTGCGGAAATAAACAGTGTTAAGCTTTCCTAAACCAGATCATGAAACAAGGATGAACTGCTTTTACAAATGTCAGTTCTCAGTGAGATACAGCAAGAGTTCTTGACCACCTGTAGGTACTGAAGATTTCATGGCACTTGTAACTGTCATAAAATAAAATGCAGCATCCTGGCTGTGTTCCACTGGGGGTAATTGATTTTTTGCCTCCCCGAATTTCCACTCTATCGTTCTAATTGAATACTTTTTTTTTTTTTTAAACAGTGAATCTAATCAACCCTCAGGACAAAACACTTATTTTGTCTCGCTCTTGACAAACAAGTGTTTTGTTTGCATTTTGCCTCTGTAATTAAAGTGCCAGCTGCCAATAATGAAATGAACTGTAGAAATTAATAATTATTTCCCCTGTAAATACACTGTACAATATTGCTGGCGTGGAAGAGTTGCCCTTATTCCAAGTCAGAGATGGCTGTATTCCACTGATCAGAGACAAAAAATTATGTGTATATGTAAGTGCATTTGTGTTGGGGGAAGAGAGAATGGCAGAGAGAACGGGAGGGGGTTTTGTACATGTGCATTTAGAGAATGCATATGCTGAGTATAAATCCAACCTTGATAAAACCTACCTTAAGGCTACTAATAGTGCTCCTGAGAAGCACCATCATCTGTTTAAAAATTATAAGTAGGAAGAGGCAGCACCAGCCAGCCTGTGAATGGAAGCAGCTTCTCTCTTAACCTTGAATTCATGCTACACTACAGGACTTTGATCAAAACACTTTTTTTTTTTTTTTTTTTTTTTTTTTTTTTGTGTAGGTAGTTTGGGGGTGGTAGGATATCCCTCTCATGGGTTAGGTATAGTGGTACACCTGGGAACAGCTGTAACTTGGTTGCTGTGTTCTTTGTGCTATAGTATTCTGTGCTCTAGATTCTCCTCACATTTTTCTTTTAACCACTGCATCTTTCTCTACACTTCCCCCCTAAATTTCTGGAGTCCTTTTGGGCACCTCAAGTCATGACGTTGTTCTCCTCCTCTAGGCTTTCAATGAGTGTCTGCCAATCTCAGCCTAAGTAAAAGGCTTTCTGTTCATATGTATTTTACAGCATAGTGGCAAATCAATCATCTAGAAAATAGTTTGCCAGTGAACACTTCTGTCAAAGCATTCTGGGAAATCATTTACTTTTTTTATGAGTGAGTAAGGCCTGAAGGCATGCAGATGGGGAAATATACACTGTTTACTGCAAATAATTTGAGAGAGACACTTCTACCAGATTGTGCATCTTCTCTGAGTTGATAGGAAAGATTCTGGCACATTGAATTATTTATTTAGATGAGTAGAAATGCTGAAAAGGGCACCTAACCATATGTTTTAGATGCTTCTGGCATCACTGGGAATGCATCACAAATAATACCCTAAAAGTACAGCAGTATAATATGATATAAAACACCTCAAGAAAGAAACACAACCTATAATCTTAATTACTCTAAATACTCCAGCAATTATTCACCCTTGCAATTCATGCCATTTTTAAAATGCCCGGGGGGAGGAAGTGAGCCTTGCAGTTTCCCCTTATGTGGAACGTGTAAGCACGATGCGCTGAATTATCGAGCTAGACTCCAGTACAGGCAGCAGTTCAAATTCTATAAAGTACTTAAAAGTTTCTAAATGGAACTGGGTGTGTGTGGTTCCTGTGCAAAGCCTCGTTACTTGACTGCTAGTACTAGAAAGGCTGCACAGATGTGGGGAGTGAAACTCCTTCCAGGCAATCTGAGGAAAGCCAAGACATCGGTCTCTTCTCCCAAGGAAAGGCAATAGGACAAGAGGAAATGGTCTCAAGTTGCCCCAGGGGAGGTTCAGATTGGAGATTAGGAAGAATTTTGACACTGAAAGGGTTATTAAGCCTTGGAATGGGCTGCCCAGGTAAGGGCTTGAGGCACCATCCCTGGAGGTATTTAAAAGACAGGTTGACATAGAGCTTAGAGACAGGATTTAATGATGGTTTTTATCAGAGTTAGGTTGATGGTTGGACTAGATGATCTTAAAGGTCCCTTCCAACCTAGACAATTCTACAATTCTGATTTGCAAGACTTCTGGACAAGGCAACTTCTATTGCAATTTGCTAAAAAAAATTGTTGTAAGATGTTATTTACTTGCAGCTTTTGCACAGTGGGGTCCTGTCTGTGACTTGAACTCCCTAGAGGCATGGAAACTTGTCACTACCAATGAAGTGATAGAATTTGTGCATTAAAATTCAAGAATAGTGTTTTGCAATCTTACCAAGATGATTTTCTTTGGTTGCCAAGCATGTAGATCTCTTTTCTCAGTACCAGCATCATCCTATAATGAATCAATACATCTGGCTTTGGTAAGATTAATTTATCTGAAAACAGGGTATTTTCTGCTATCATTAAAAAAGGAGGCTCTAAGTTTCAGTATTTCGGTCCCTCATTCCTGTATTTAATTCTTTTAAAACTCCATGCTCTTTTAAAAGAAGGAAAAAAGCCTAACAGGAAGATGTTCGATTCTTCTGTTGCTTAGTTTGCTAAATTCCACTTCTTACATAATGTTGTGAAGGACAAACAATGAAATCCTTGGCTGCTCTCCATTAATCTGCTTCTCTCCTGCAACGTCGTATCTACATAACAAACAACATTTTTTTTCCATTGCCATGCTTAATTACAGGTTTTCTCTATGCAAAGCCTCCAGATATTGGGCAGTTCTGTGAAATGCTCTGGGATTATACAATCCGAGCTGAAGATGAATAAAGTCTCTTTCCATTTTTTTTTTTTTGAAATCTGCATAAGTAAGCATATCTCTTTCTCGCAGTTTAGCAGGTTTCAGTTGATGTTGGCATTTCACTTCACACTGAAATACTGCAAGGCAGCAGTATCAAAATAGGATTATGGACTCTTATCTGAAGAGAGGCAGTTTCTTACCCGTGACTCTTGGTGATTTCTGTAATGTGCATTCACGTTAAAATTATCCACAGGAGTTATCAGGTTGTGCTTGCGAAGCTCACGGGTCTTCACAGCCTCCGGATCAGCCCCTGCAATAAGGCAAAAAACTGAAGTCTTTAACCTTAAACTACATCAGGCCTCTTACAAAATTGGAATAAGGATATATTTTTTTTTTATTTTAAAGCCATCTTCTACAGATTGCTGTCTTTTTATTGGAGTTCTCCTGAACCTTTTGAAACCACAGCATTTTTTATATTAAACCCACGTAGTAGTAGGGATAATTGGAATAGTCTTCTGTTAAATTCTGCGTGGTATATCACTGCAATGGATTTTTTTTGTTTGTTTGCTTTTAAATGACAAAATCTGTAGCTTTTATGGAATAAAACTGCAGGGATCATGAGCCACACTGAATTAAAACGCAATAATGGACTCCATACATAAACCTCTGTCTAAGGCCTTGTCAGTACCAACAAAGCCAAGGAATTGCCTGGAATTTTTTACTTGCGTCTTCCCCTCATTATTTTTAAGACAACAATGAATTTCATTTGAGTGCCATAAAATGAATGGATACACCCACACCCTATAAACTGACTCTCTTTTCCCCTTCTCTTCTAAAGGAAGACTTGGAACAGAAACTTCTAAAGAGGAAAAAGCTCTGCTTTCCATGTGCAGAGATGGCCTGTCTTAAAAAAACAAACAAATCCTCCCCACACATTTCACTAACCAGAAGCAAAAGTTCTGCTTGTTAAGATTGATATCGCATCAAAATATGGTTCTTGGGACAAGGTTCCACTGAGTTCTTCTGTTGCTAAACATACCACCACCTCTTTTCTTGTTCTGGCTCCCAGGCTACTGAGGGAGCTCTCTCCAAACACGATCAGGTCCCCGTGTGCTGTCAACTAACACTGAGGGGAAACTGAAATTATTCGATGAGGACGGGATTTGGGGAAGGTTTGGGAAATGTGACTCACTTCCCTGAGCTGGGGGCAAGCCAGGAATTTAAATGAACAAGGCCTGGCAGGGAACCAAGTACACAGGATTTCAACTGATATATCATCTGCCTTTTAAGACTGAAGAAACAAAGCTGGCATAAGCTATTATCTGCCCACGTGCAGGATTGGCATTTTACACAATCTACAGTAGTTAGGGTGTGTGTATATATCATATACCTACTTACATCCTTTCTGGAGGTTAATTCTCTGGTTATTATCTGATGGTGAGGTTTCTTAATCAGTATTTTTTAAGTGCTTGCTTACAAGGAGAAAGTTGAAAATTATACAACTCACTCAGGAACTTCAGAAGCCATAGCATACCCTAGTGCTTAGCAAACACTGTAGAATGCATCTTAAAAAAAAATAAGTAAAAAAAAAAAAAAACCAACCTAACTTGTGTTGTGATTACAACATCTTTATCTTGATAAAGATAGGGTCCGTATTGTGAAAATGCACTTATAATCTAAATTTACAGTAATATAACATCACTGATAATCTTCATTCAGAATGGAACTAGAAATGGCACAGCAAGAATAGTGCTTAGGGAAAAAAGCATGCTGACATAAGTGAGGGTGAAATCAAAGAATAATCAACAGGACTGTTCTCTAGCTGGGAGTCACCTTCCTGAATGCTAAAATTCCTCCTGCTCATATTCCTACTCCCCTCCCCATCTGAATTCTTCCAACACCTCACAGATTTCATCTCCTTTTATGTTTTCTTGTCATTCAGGCATTTCTTTTACCTATTAGACTTACATGTGCAGTTTATGATCACTGCAAAATTTGCTGTTTGCCCAATACTACTAATTGGTGTAGATTGGCTCATTAAATCTTTCAGCACTTAATATCAAAGATCTTGCTTTAATCTAAACCAAACCCTAGAAAATTATGGTTTGGGTTTTTGTCATCCGCTCGCTACATACCACTAGCCTCATCAAAGACATTAATAGCTAATGTTATATCACTGAGAATGCTTGTGCCACAGAAAAATACTGCCATGGTGATTGAGCTACAAGTTAAATGTGTCCTTTGAGTATATTTAAAGACTTTATCTTGTTCAGCCATTAGTACAGAAGAATTAGTTGAGAGGTAAATTTGGCAGAAGCGTCTCAACAGAATGTTCTATATCTTGTGGGTCTCTCTCTCACCTGACTTTATTTTAGTTTTGAGCCGTTTCTTTTGACGTTCCTGCTGAACAAACTGCAGGCTTCCCACACAGCCACATGGCTCTAGCAGTGGATTTGTAGGAGAACCTCCAGCAATCTGACAGATACAACACTCATCTCCTTCCTCTTCGGAATCTTCTGGCAGGAGACTATTAGGACATGACAGAAGAAATCAAACACTGCTCTTGGCAAAGCCTACAGCTGAGTAATGGACAGTACCTTTACACTAATGTTCTAGCATTTGGAGAGATGTTACTAAGGACCTCTCTCACACGATGGTGACCTGGAAGTATAATATCCAACAGTTTAGAGTTACCTTAAAGCTGGTAAATGTTCAAAGGAAAAATCTTACAGTCTGTAAATTCCCTTCATGCTTTTGTGCATGAGGCTGTGTTGCTGAGAATTATACAGCCACTGTTTTTTGAGAAGAATGAGTCTGTTTGAATAATCCCTATAAAATGTGAGAGGAGGTGTCTGCTGAATGCTCTCCCCTCTTGGCTGTGTGGGCACTGCATGAGTTTTGAGTATTTGTCCCGAGTGTCTTTCTGGAAACCCTCCTAGACTTGTGGTGATGCAGAGGAAGTTCATTTCTTGGTGAAGAGTTATATTTTAACCGAACTGAAAAAAAAATGTTATGTTAAAAACATTTTAATGGCTTTGTATTTACGACTGATAGGTGAAAACATGCGAAGTATTTACTGATTATGATCTAGTGCTTTTCCCATAAAATCTGATGAGCAGATTTGGTTCCTATTTAATAAATAGAATACTAAACAACAAAAATGTTGAGCCTTGGATTGGACTCTAACTAATACTGTAAAAGCAAAAATATTAAAATGAAAATGCAATTTGTGACTTTATCACTTCATGCATTCAAACCTTAACCACATGGAGTTACATCTCCATCCTTAACTTTGGCAACTAAGACCCCTTGATGCTATGTATGTAACACCTCAGAAAACCAGACTCTTCAAAATAATGTCACCAGCAGAATGTTGTTGGGGGAGAGAGGTTGTAGGGTTTTCTTGCTTTTTCCATCCCCTTCTAGCCATGGTTTTGTTTGCCTAAATGGTTTGTGTTGAGAAAGAAGGAAAAGTTTTCTCTTTTTTCTGAAAGCTGGAATAACAGGAGACCTGTTTGACTGTAAAGTTTTTGGTTTCTTTCTAGTCTCCCCTTTGGTTATCTTTTTCTCCCTATTTCTGGCATGCCTCCCCCTAGATTTCTTGGCCAGAACAGGTACCGTTACTAACTCCTACTAACGTCATCAGGAGACTGAGGAAGCTCAAGAGGAGGGAGACTTCCTGTTGGCAGAGCAGGAAAGATGAATATTTACAACCTTTCTGAGCATTTAGATGTTCCTTCCATCTAAATTCTTACCTCCCCAAATTGTAACCCCCCCCCTTAGTTCTCAATTTCCTTAACTCTTGAGGAAAAACGTTTCATTCTGAACCGTGTGTCTAGCTGTCTGCCACATCCCCTGGGACAGCTGACAAACTTTGAAATGCAGACAGTTGGTTCATTTGCAGTGAAGCTGGGAACAGAACTGTTTTTCCTGATAGCATCTCTGAATCTAATTGCTTAAGCAGTTTCTTGAGACAGAGAGAGCAGCTTGTTGATTACAGTGAGCAGCAGGGAAACCTATTGCTCCTTCATTCTGCCTTTATTTGAAAGTCTCTGCAGTCAAAGAAATTACTGTATTTAGACCACAGATAGAAAATAGGACAAGCAAACAATTAAAAATAGCTTTTACGAACAAAGCTGTGTCTCTTAGCTAGAACTTCTGATTATGGCTGTAATACATAAAGAAGCTGAGCTTAAAGGACTCGGTGCTGGTTAAATGGGATCTATCCCAAAGGGAAGCCTTATAAAAGAATGAAAGGGCAAGTTCCATGACTGTGCTATTAGCCATGTCCACCAGTGCCCAAAGAGCCCACTTGTGGGTTGTGGTGGACTCTGTGACATGGAGGAATCTATTTTTTGCCTCCAATTCTGTAACAATAAGACCCACAAATCTCCCTCGTGGCTCTGCCAGAGAAAGCTTGGTTACAGCCTCAGTGGTGTTTATTAGTGTTTAGGAATAAAGCAGTAGAGTGTGTGACTTGTAGAAGAAGTATCACGATGCAAACACCACCTCCTTTTTGAGTGGTTTTCAGTGTCTGTAGTAGAACCAGCTGAAAGTCTCATGTGACTGATAAGGATGGAGATAGAGATGGAAGAACTATGAAGTTACTTTTGTGTGTTTCCAACTGCATAGAAAACTTGAAAGAAGGAAAATGTAGCCCTTTCTTTACAAGTCAAATATCAAACTAATCTATGATAAAAATAGAACTTTGAAATCTACACAGTTTGTCACAGCTACAGCACAGTTTCTTGCAATTCAGGATCTATCTATGTATAAGTATTCACATATAATTCTAGAGTTTGCACAAATATTGAATATATGCCTCACCTTTCATGCCGTTTAAGTTCCTCTCGATCTGCCCATGGTCTCTTCACTTCCTCTCTGGTTGCTGAATGGGAGAGTGTTGTGTCGTTTATTGTATTACTTTGTTTATGTAAATAAGGCACCGCCAGAAAAGTCAATGGCAACTGATCAAGCAAATCACAAGCAATGTGAAGATCAGGAGTGACTCTTGTCTGAATCACAGACGGGCTGGAAGACTCTAGATCTGAAGACCTAGGTGAACCCTGTAAGGTCTCCCCACCACACAACGTACCACCAGGAGATGAAGTGTTCCTGTTCCAGCTGTCATTGCTGCTGTCCTCCCGTAAGGTGCTGTCCTCAGGTGTGTTGTGAAGACGGTGTAAGGAATCAAAACTTTCTGAAGTAGAGGAATTATCCCTAGAGCGTATAAAGGCCAGGGGTGTATGCATTTTGAGTGTTGAAGTGACATCCAGATCCTGTGTTTGTGGAGAATATGTTGCTGAGCTCCAGTTTGCTGAGGCTCTCAGTGCAGATGGAGCTGAGGATCCTGAGCTGTTTGGTGCAGTGCTGGTCTGGGAACAGCTGACAGAACTGACACGACCACGGCACCTCTCACTGCTTTCATGAGACTGCCATTCTTTGCAATAAACATGGGCCCTATCTCTGTAATTAACATTACGAAGCATCTTTCGAATAGATGAATTACTTGGCCTATCTTCAAATTCAGAATCATCTGCATCTTCCAGACAATTCCTGTCTGGAGGGTATAATTTGTCACTGTCCTGAGATTCTCTCTGCTGTAGTTCTACAGCACTGACCATCGTTCTGTGCCCTCTTAAAGGCCAATGGGAAGATTTACCCCCTCTTGATGATGCATTTTTGTCATTTCCACCTTCTTCCAAGCTATGTCGCTCACCTTGTGCTAAATATATTTCTCTTAATTTGTTCCTGTGTTCCAGAATCCTAGGAAACTGGCTAATGCTCCTCGAAAGTTTTCTCTTTAATTGATCGGCGTCTTCCATTTCTTCAAAAGAATCTTCCCCAGTTAAATACTGAGTAGAACAAAAGCTTTTCCCTCTGGACCTAAAAGGGGCCCTTCTGTGGTGCAGAAGGGCTGAACCACTCAACTTGTTTGCTGTGGGGGCGCCTGCAGTTCCCTGGGAGGTCAGTGTGGGTAACTGAGTTAGAGATGACTGACCCTGTGCTGGAATAGTCCCTGTTTTGTATTTTGTCTCAAGGCCTCTGTGATCTAGACTGAGGTTAGAGGACTTTGTCATACTCCTCCTTTGAGATCGCTTCCTGTTTTCAAATGCAGACTCACTTGGTTTTCTTGTACAGTCTTGTTGAGCTCCAAGATCTGGATTAAAAATTAATAATAATAATAATAAAAAATAAAACCAACAAAACAATTGTCAAAATACCATTTTACTTTTGTATTGAGTGTTTAGCACACGTTTGGAGTGGCTTCAGAATATTCTCCTGGTATTGATGTTATACCACAGTCAGTTATTGGTAATTCTCATTCTAGTATGTTTCTTGTTAACAATATGAATTTATTCATGAGCTTCTCAAGAAGGCAGACAGAAAATCAATAGTGCTTGTCTGGTAGGACCTGTGTAGGGACACGTGAGGAACGCTAATAGATACTACTAAACGATGCAGTGGTACCTAGAAGACCAATTAATATTTACCTCCTCCCTGGAATGTATCCTGACCCACCTGGTCCATGCTTTGGTGAACATGTAGTTTCAGAAGAAACCACCCCTACGTAAGCAACAGGAATTGCACTGGCATCTTGTCTGAGGGGGTTTTATTGGGTAACGTAAGAGTTGGGATTTTCAGTTTTAAGAATTTTATCTCGCTTATTACACAGCAATGTAAACTTCCAGCGAGCACTTTGATCTGCCCCAGTTTGTGAAGCTGAGCTGATTTTTCAGTATGTACTCTGGGGGAGGTCTGCTGCTTGTTCTAATCCTCAAGGGCACCCTGCACCAGAACCCGCTGGATGTTAACGTTTATACACAAAACCATATGTTATGGTAAAAACAACCCCAAAAAAATTTAGAGATTCTAATTATTATTTTACAAAAAACCGTCACATAAAACATTAGGAGATGTGATAAATCTCATGAGATGACTGCATGTCGCCTCATTTAGCACAAAAATACAAGTTGGCCGGGTAAAACCAGTCTGCTCATGCTTCATGATAGATCACTGACTCCTCACCGGGCGAGAGGCACCCACCTTCCTGGGGTTTCATGCAGAATTGCCTCATGCAGTGCAATCTCCAAACCACGGGGAAGAATGTGACTTATAGGTAGAGGAAAAACTATCTCTATTAGACTGATTTAGTTGTGGGTTAGATCACTCAGATCAAACCCGTGCTGGTGGCTGATACTCCTGTACTCACCACGGGGAATTACAGCCAGTGGGATTCTCCCAGCCATGCCTTATCCCTTGGCTGTTAAGTGTGTGTGTGTGTGTGTGTGTGTGTGTGTGTGTGTGTGTGTGTGTGTTCACCTTTTATCCCAAGGAGATATTTGGACTACTGCTCTGCTCAGGCCATCTGCTCACTCATACAGCATTTTTTTAAAATTGCTTGGGGCTGCTCTATCATGTTTCTTCTTGCTACACGGGTGCACTTGAATGTACTTATTTCCAGTTGTAATGCAGTTTTAAAAACACGTGCGCTCTATCTGCGGTTGCCATCCCATATTTCTCTCTGCTGGCTCAAGTAAACTGCTTTTTACTGGGAGAAACCGAGCAGAAAGTTAATAGCAACTTAAGAATTCACTAAGACATGGTGCAGAAGGCAACATTTCCTTTTACATTTAGCTTTTCTTGTACTACTTTTGGTCTACTATACACTGAAATACGGTCTAGATGGTAAATATTTCACCTCTATCTCCAAGGCATCATAAAAAAAATAATGTAAGAGTAAACTGGGGCCATAGCAATCTCCTCGGTCTTGAGAAGTCTGAGTATTTCTTTCTCTCCTTCAAAACAAGATGTTTACTCTCTAGGTAGCAATTTGAGAGTTCCTGAAGTTGCTGAAAGTGGTAATTCGAAGGTGATGACATCAAAGAAAGAAAAATGGCTGTGTTATTTCTCACAGTTGCCTCATTGCCCCTGGCTCCTGCAGAAACAGGGCCCTCCCAGCCTCAGACAAGTTCTGAACAGAAAATATAACTAGTACTCAGGACCCTTACATGGAAGATAAGATGGCTGGATTCAGTTTTGTGCTCTGCTTAAAACTTATCCTACATAAATCACTTGCTACGCCTTAGCTCTTCTCACTCAAATGTAAATAAACAAACCCAGGGGTGCTGTAAAGATAAAGCCATTGAAATGGTGGAGGCCAGTCAGAAACAAATTGTGAGGGGCAGATAAGGATGTAAAATAATCGGGCAGTCATGCCTGCATGCCTGTTAGGGGTGTCAGAGAAATAAAAGATGAAGATAAAGTATATTAGGAATGTGATGGGTAAGTAGGAGAATGTATCCTCAGCCTAATGCAGTGTGAAAAGAACACAGGAAAGCCACAGGGACAGGCCTTTAAGATAAGCTTTCTTTTGAACTACTTGTTGCTGAAAAATTAAAGGAAGGGTTGAGGTGTTTTCCTACAGACAAACAAATTACACGCATAAGAATGGGAGTCCATGGTAATATTTAATTTTGCTTTATTTCTATGCTGCTCTCCATTTATTTTATTTATTTTTTCCCCTGGCTGGAAGGGCAGGGAAAGACAATGGGTCCTACCCTGTGAACCACAGCCTGACTAAGTAAAGGCAGCCCTTTACTCAGGAGACTCCACGTTGATGTAAGTGAAGCTCTTGATGGAAATAGGATTTTGTCCTTACACGGTTACAAGATCAGGGCACTAGTTAATTTTGACTATACATTTTCCCCAAATACCTGAGGCCTATTTTCTGTTCTAAATTAAGTCAAAGGCATGAAATAACACTGATGTAAGTGGGATTACGTCAGACCTACATGAATGCACGCTTAAATGGGTTTAACCTTAATTTTAGAATACTTACTTTTGCTGAATGGTGTTGATTTTGAGTTAGTGGAATGCAAATATGCAATAACTCGGAATTGGGAGAGGACCTATTCCATTTCCTCTCTGAAACTTCAAAAACCCCTGAGTCTTGAATATTCAGTGGTGTTCTTGATTGTGTGGAGAGCCTCAGTTTAATTACACATGTCGAGAACAACATCAAAATAGTTTTGTGTTTATGCAAGCTCTTTCTGCAACGATATAAACCTGCAAAGGTGGTCATTCCTGCAAAGCTCTTTCTCTGTCTATATGGGCCTGGCTTTCGTCTCCAGAGATGTAGTTGTGTTCTCACAGTCTCCCTCAAGAAGAGAGAAACCATCCATCTGCTACGATATTTAGTGAATAATCTTTTGTTCTATAAATATTTGGAGCTTTGTGCTTAAAAATGGAATATTGCTTTAAAAAGTGACTTGCTGGCAATACAGGCTGACTGACTTCACCGAAACAATAAACTGATTAGCTAATCCTGGCAAACTTCATATTGTTTTCTGAGAATTTAGTCATGCACATTGTTAGGTTGGAACTTGTTTAACGGCTGCTATGTAAATTATGGAGGATTTACTTGTTGCTTTGATAAAATTAACTACGATAAGTGAATTTCCTATTTTTTTTTTTTTTGGTATTTTAAACACAAATAATTCATTTTAAATTACCCTTCTTAACTTAACCAATTGCAAAGCTGCATGAAACATGGACTTGATCCTGTTTTCATTAAAAGCCTTGTGAACATGACTGCAAAACTGCCTGCCCCCCACGGGACCAGGGAGATCAGAAGATGTGCTTTATCTCTGGCCTTTGATCCCATGGTTCACAATTAACTGCAAGGAGTATGTCTGGGTATTCTGCGATTCCTGATTCCAAAAGTAATTTTGGGTGTCCTGAGTAATACCACTAAGTCATTTCACTTAATTCACTATGACAAAGTGTATAGATCCAGGTCTAATTCCAATTTGTATTTTCCATTGTGTGGCAGTTTAAAAATGACTTAAAAATGCAAGCGTGAACTCTATTTTGAAACTTTTTTGTTATTAAACTGATTTACTAATATGAAGAAGATAAAGCAAAGTAATATAAGGCCAATTAAATTACAAAGCATCCATCCAGTTTGCTATTTGTAATATCAGGACAAATGACTTGATTTCATCACCTGGTACTCACCTGAGGTGACTTTAATTGGGTCAAGTACACTTCTCTCGACTTTTTTTACACGAATGTTGCAATTCAACTTTTGCTTGACCGATCTATTGTCTATGAGAGGAAGTTTAAGGCCTTGGCTCTTCCCAGAAGGTTTGATGACAGATCCATGTTTGATTTCAGAACTCTCATTTGCAAAGGTCTAGAAAAGAAAAAGGAACTCTGAAGAAAAAAAATTGTAATACAAATAAAGCAGTATAAGAACAGATATTTCAAATAGCAGGAAGGAAACACAGGCACTGCCCATAAATAGAAAACCCCTTTCTCCTCCTCTTCTCTGATCTCTCCCCCAAGTTGTATAACACATACTGAAATCAATTTTTTCCACACAATACACTATGTTCTTCAATTTTTTTGTTTGCATTTTATTCAGGTTCTTTTTTGGAGCGTGGGACTCTTCACTATACAAATCAAAGCCTTCTGTTAAGAACCTTTAATCTCTTTTGCAGATGACTTGCCAGAGTGATATCACTCTTACAAGAACAAAACTGAAAGCCGTGATTCTGTAATGTAAGAAAGTACCAACGTGACATCCACAGATACACAAGGGAATGCTTCCAGTTAAGTTTATTAGATCTCTAACTTGCAAGTCTAATTTGGACTTGTGACCTTTTGCATGTTAATATCATCAGGGGAACTACAATGTGAGCCATTCAAAGCAGGTCATGGTGGTTCAATTCTGAAACACTTCATATGTTCCTGTTCTACAAAACAATTCTGCCCTCTGTATTCTAGAGGACAGGCCTGACCTTTGTCATTGTGATGGCAGCATTTTTCATTTAGATGTATCCATTTGTCAATAATGCCCCGAAATTAATTCTGGTCTTTAAAAATTCCTTGTAAAGAGATAAAACATTGTAACTTTTTATCTTACTGGATGCTCAAATACAAATATTGAGCACTGAAAACTATAAATAATTTTCAAATTAACACATCTCAACAATGCTTACACAGTTTATGGTAAGAACACAACAAGCTCTTAAATTCCTTGTAAAGAGATAAAACATTGTAATTTTTTATCTTACTGGATGCTCAAATGCAAATACAAATATTGAGCACTGAAAACTGTAAATAATTTTCAAATTAACACATCTCAATAATGCTTATGCAGTTTATGGTAAGAACACAACAAGCTCTCGGAGGTAATACAGCTTCATTCTTGGAGCAGCTACGCTTGAACCATTAAGTTTAGACTAATGTAAAAAAAAAAAGTGGAATAACTAATGTACCAGTCTTTCAACTTCTGAATTTAAAAAGCTATGTTAATCCAAAGTGGAAAAAAAAAAAGGAAAATAATGTAACAAACTTTCATGAAGATCCAACTTTTTATACCAGTCACAGACAAACCTGTTTACATAATTTGGCTTAATATCTTTGGATGCACAGAAAAAGCTGAACAAGGAGACATGTCACATGTTGAGACAAGGGCTTATTGGTGGAGTCATGTAAATACTTAGCAGATTATGTCTGATTACATTTACCTGCTTCATGAGCATAGCACTTGGATTATTCTAAAAAGCAGTAATCTAAAGTAAAATCCTTTTTTTCAGAAGCTTGTTTAAGGGTAGTAACCTAACATTCTCCATTAAAACCATGTTAATCTTATTTATATTAATTAAATGCTACAAGGAACTGCCAAAGCCCTTTTTCTCTTGCAGATTCAGGAAGTTCATGTATGGCACTGGTGAAAGTTTAGATCTACACTCATTCCCTGAATGATCACAGGCTTAAAAAAGAATAAAATATATATATATATATTTCCTACTACATGTATCTGTATGGGAGAGGAAGGTAAAAATGACTCAACTAAAGAGACTATGCTGATAGTTTCAATTTTAATGGCAGTAAAGGGTTCTTTTCCCATTGTCTCTCAGAGATTGTTAGTACAGTGAGTTGCAATAGAATGTGCAAGAGGAGGATTTGGGTTTTGTTTATCTGTACATAGAAGGATGGAGCCAAAGAGCTGTAGCATGTACCAACATATCCATTACTCACGATCTGGCAAATCCTGTGTAAATGTAATCTTCCTTTTACATGGTATAAAGAAAAGATTGATGAACCTTCCTTAGAAGGAAGGCAGGCAAACTTCTGTGGAAGAAGATAAATGTCTAACAACCGAGCTAAAAGGCTGGTATCAGCTGGGATTAATAACTGGAGAGAAGCATCTTCCTGTTGGGCCACTGTCAAAATGGTGGTAAATATGGAAGCATCTGAGAATGATAATCAATATTATTGTTAATTCTTCCTAAAGTACTGTCTCCTAAGATCTCTCTGATCTGATTCTGCCAAGTACTTTCCTGATTATAATTGTTTTCTGTAGTAACTTGCATATTTTAATGAAGATTATTTCATTAAGCTGTATCACAATTGTACATCCAACATGTTGCGTTATTTGTTAGCAGTGTAGCAACATTTCAATCAGAAATAGAAAATATTTTGTCATCCAGATTAGTGAACGGCTCCTGGTAAAAAAAATAATAAATGTTTATATGACACATGTTGCAAACCTCATTTCAAGAATTTAAAGTAAAAAATGCAGAAACTAAAAGGATTAGCACAACATTATTGTTATAAATTTACTTCCTAAATTCTAATTTCATATATGCTTTTTTAATTTCCCAGGGTTTTCATCTTACTTTATCATTGACGGTTGGTAGATCAGGCCAGTTTTCTTTAAAAATATTTGGATAAATACTTATTTTTCCCTTCACTCTTGGAATATAATATTTATTTTTTTCCCAAGAAGGACAGGATATTATTTTATTCCCAGTCACTATTTGCTGGCAGGTAGCACAGCAGTGGAGGAGATAACCATCTAGTCTGAGCTCCATAGATGATCTGTGGGATGTAAAAGCACTGAGGCAGGAAGTGGAAGGGACTTGTTGAAAGACAACGCTCTGTAGGAGCAATAGAACCTAAAAAAAACCCCAACCTTTCTGAACTAAATGGTATTTCTGCCATTGAGCTCTCAAAGGCATTGCCTTCTAACTGTTGGTTTTTTTAATTATTGTTGCTCTGTGTGTTGGTTTGTTTGTTTGGAGAATGTTCTGTTTGTTTCTTGCGCAGTTTTTCTAAATATTATAATTTAGAAAGATAGTCATATCTTATTTAAACACTCTGAAGGATGGAGTGTTTACCGCAACGTTAACAACTCGTTCAATGATTAGCTGCCTATCATGAAAACTTTGCACATTTTCTTCACATTTTATTTTTGTAACTTAAGCTTTCAACCACAGCTCTTGCTCTCTGACACATAAAATAGCTGAGAACAGGCAGCTTCTCTGTATGGAGGTTCTCCACAAACTGGAACGCTAACCATCGGATTAAGTCTGATTTTTAAACCTGTTGGTACCAAAGTAGGTCTTTTGTACACCCTACCATAGCTTCAGTCTTCTGGTTAAATATCTCAGAAAAGTCTAGATGTTCGCTGTTGCTCAGTGCTCTGGGGCCAGAGGTCTCCTTCAGAGTGTTTGATGCTGTTTCAAAGCCCTGGACAGCACAGCCTGAAGTTTGACCAGTCGGTGAAGTGCAGCAAAATCTATTGTAGTGAATGGTACAAATGAGGAGCAGAGGAGGGATGAAGAATTCCAAAAAGCCACATATGCTCAGTTTCTAGCTCTGGGTATAAGCTTTAGCCAATAAAGACAAATAATTGTGTTCTGTATCCTCAGATTAGAAAATAAGAACCACATTATTCAGCTTTAAAATGATTTAGATTCTTTTCTCAGGGGCATTGTAATTTCCTTTCTTTTTACCCAGTTACTTTTAATGTTTGTTTAAGCTGAGACCATAAAGTGTGCATAATCTTCTAATCTCACAGTCCATTTTAACATACTTAGTTCCACTGTTTTAATTCCATTTGGCTTTCAATTTGGGATAAAAATTATAAACACTGTATTTCAGAATGTCGAAGTGAGACACCAAGATCAATCTGTGTGTTGGGGGGGAGATTTATTCTAGTTTCAATTCCCCGTTGGGCACAAATAGGGCAGAACAAAAACTAGAGGGAGCTGTTGTTCACAATTCACAAATAATCTTCATTATCGTTTATTCTGAAATAAATTAGAAAACTCTTTTCACAGGGGGTGAGAAGCACTGCCTAAAATGTGTAGTAATAGCATGGAGGGGGGAGAGTAGATAGTTAAGGCAGAAATACAGACTACCTGGTCTAATGGAAGTACATCTATTATCTATATGGGGGAGAAAAAGAGGGGAGAAAATGTGAGGACAAATGAAAGACTGAATTAATTCGTCCTGTGGTTTAAAGGTATAGAAGGATATGTTTTCCTTCAGTTAGCAACCCATAAAACATTCTCATTTACTTTTGAAACGTCAGAACAAATGCCTAGACAAACACTACCCGTTGGAAATTAAAAGTCCTGAAGCTTTCTTTGATAAAGGAATGATAAAGCAGTAGATAGCTCCATTCATTGTGAGGCCACTGAATTAGCTCAATAACTAGAAGAATTCTCATTTAATAAACAGAAACGTTTCTTCTGGAAATAAGTATTAAGCAATGCAAACAACCTGAATCCTCACCAAATAGTTTCAAAGTCAGATAAATAGAATTATCTGGAGGAGAAACTTTGTTTCATGAAAAGCTGCAAGATGTAAAAGAATTATCTTGCAGTATAATACATGAAATATGTACAAGCCAAATATATTTGTTGGCACAAAAGCCCTCTGGCATATTGAAGTAAAACATCCACATATTTTAGGGGTTATCTGGTAAGATTCTTGTGAAACTCCCCAGTCATCAGATCACTGTGGACCACTGTCTTTCATTCTGTTCTAATCATAAAACAACTGTGAATTTGCTCAGTTCGCCACCCTTTCCTGTGAAATGCTGTGTGTTGATACAGTCTTCCAGGAGAAAAAAGGGCTTGAACTAGCAGATACTCAACCAAGGGGAGCTTCCTGCCTCTTTCTCTAGAACTGAGTTGAGTTACACTAGAATGTTTCCTCGGAGATCTTACTCCAGGTGACTCCACCAAAAATAGCATATGCAAATACTTCTTTACTTTTCATTTGAGAATCTATCTTCATGAATGCAAAATAGGCTTTATAGAGATTTGTGATCTC